TTCACTATTATAGGTCCTAAAAGACAACACAACGCTATTCCCACTTGATTGCCGAAAATACCCAAAGACGTGGCGGTCGAGATTTGGGTAAATGGAAACCATTGCGCGGCCAATCGTCCTGGTATCGGTACCAATGTAGTCTGATACAAAATTAAATAATTACTACTCTATAAATAAATTGTAGAGAATACAGAGTAATGATCTAACCATAAAAAAGGAGGAAAGAAAAAAGTTGTAATAATATCAAAATTTTTGATGCATTAATAAAGTAAATTAAAAGATATAACCTGCGCAAGAGCGACTATTGAATGTCCGATGATAACAATGTAGAACCTATCGGGTTGAATGGATAATGTTTTTATCCAGGCACCAAGACAGTTAAGACCAGCGCCTATGGTGAGGATCCATCGCAGACCGTATTTGTCTGTCACGTACGACGCTGGAAATATAAACGCTATGTAAAATGTCATGAACGACATTGCAGTCCAGTCAACCATCATCGAAGACACTCCATAATACCTAAATAGTACATAAAAAAAGACATTGACACTTTTATATTCAAAATTGTTCTTATTTTGTGAAAAATATGATACCTAATAACTATGTTGGCTATAATCGAGTATTCTATCCATTGAAAACAATTTGATCCAGCATAAATCATGTAGATAATTAACATTAGCCACCTCTTTTTATACACTTTCAATTTTAATGGTTCGACGTCGGTTAATTCGCCAGATTTTATTATTTTTATTGATTCTTTTATTGTGAGTACTTCGCTTTGACTTTTATCTTCCATCATTGTTATTTTTACTTTTTTGCAAAATAAGTTTTGTAAACTATATCTTTGATCTATATTTTTTTAAGTTAAAAGAATATTCAATCATACTTTTCTTAAAATATTTTTTCAATAAGTGCAACAATATTTAATTCTGGAATTCTTAGTATCAAATTGTACAATTTTATAACATTAATTATACTAAAAAATATTATATTATTAATTATACAAAAAATTTTCTTATCATATTTTAAATAACAATTTTATAGGCGACGTGATTTAGAATCTTATTCCACGTTACAAAATTTTTTGCATTTCGCAAATTGGTTTTGAAAATGACCCAACGATAAAAGGCTTGGTGTTGATTGAAATTGAGATGAAATGTAACTGCTCGTCGTGCAATATTTCTGGTGTACAGATAGACCTGTTTAATATTGATAAACTTACCTTATCTGTACATGAACAAATAAAATGACATTATTATTGTAAAGATTAAAAAAAATCTGTATACTTAGTCTTAACAGGATTTTTATCAGATTCAGAAGTGTTTTTGTACGATTTTAAAACAACTATGCGATAGCATACCCGTTATTTCATTTATACTGAACAATTTAGACGCATAGTATAAATAAAAGTTCATTAAATTGTGACATAACATGTGTGCTTTTGCATTTTTGTTCAAGTAATTGATCATATTAAGAGAAAAATTCTTTATAAATCACGCAATGAGCCGTTATAACTGTATAATTATAGTTATTTAAATCATTTTTCATAGTAATTTTAACCATTTTTATGATTATAATAACTATAATTACAGCCATTTCTGGTTGCCAACTGTACATATGTATATTGGTTTATAAAACTATACATATAGTTATTATATTACCAACATTATAGTAGTTGCAATCATAATTATAATAATATGTAATTATTGTTACAAACAGTTTACCTCTCAATACATGAAACGAAATATTATACCAAAATAATAAGAACAATTAAGTAAAAGTGAAGACAAAAAAATTGATAATGATTATTAATTTCTAAAAAAAGGAGAATTTTCACCTGTTTAATTTTAATATTACACAAGATTCTCTTGATTATTTTGTTAATGATAATATATGGTGTTAAATTTGTTTTTTTTTTGCCATACTATAAAGATACTTTTGTAGGAGAAATCTATTTCCTTTTTATAGAAGAGGCAATATCAAAATATGCGCCATACTACTTGTTGGCAAGACTTTTGTAAAAAAAAATTTAACATACAGATTTTTTAAAAGACAAAGTGAAATTTTCATCTATACGCGTAACGTAATGTAAGATTAATTTTTTTAGTCATATTAATGTAGGTAATATGCTATTTAGAAGGTGAAACATCGATAAAAATTAGCACACGAATAAGATTATATTGATTTCAAAATTGATTACTATTGAAAGATTTAATAAGATTATTTGTGACAATTAAGTAATGCTATAAGTAAGTTGATTCGTTTCTGGAACACCATCGTTCTTTTCAATTCTCGCGATTTCTTCATATTGAGCCTTCTTCCTCGCATCTTGTCGTCTCTGTTCGTCTTTTGTTATAGCGGTCAAAATAAAACCGAGCAACAAAGCCAAGCATAAGCCAATGTGCACCGGAATGTCGCCGTACGTGTTCATTAATGATTCTAATGATATAATGAGTATAATGCCGTAAATGTTGGATGTTACGTAAAGAAGTCCCGCAGGTATATTTTCCGACTCTGGATACGTATATTCGGTGCATAAATCATATCCCATAGCTAGATATCCCGACATAAAGTATCTGTAACGAATAATAAAATGTAATAGATATTACCTAAGATTTTTGACAGATAATATTTAAAATAAATATTAAATAGAATATATTAAAAAGGACCAAATAAAACTCTATTGCTTTATATCACAATTTGATTGATATACATTTAAAAGAGAACTTTGACATTAATAAAAACAATAAGAACAATTACAATTTACTAAATCGTTAAAAAATCAACTTCTATTGTTTTACGTAATTGTCGTAATACATTTTTGAAGCATTAATATTTTTTTATATAGGCCTAAATTTGAATGTCAATATGTTACCCTAAGAAAGTCGCCGACACGTATACCATCCATTTTATACCCATACAAGTAAACACCGCAAATAATATTTGACCACAAAGTGTAAGAAAATATACAGTCACGGCAGTTTGTCTGAAAATTGGAAACATATCTAAATTATTAACTGATGTTGAATGCATGATTTATAATAAAGTAAATTTAAATTAGATTTTTATGATAATTGCAAATGTTTTTCTTACTTGAATTTATGCGTTTTATCAAGGATGAAACCGAAACTAACAGAACCGGCCATACCGGTGAGAGTTAAGGCTAAGCCAACTCTGCCTGCATCTTCTTCTCCATTCTAAAACTCATGTGCGATCGTAAATATATCTTGTCCTTTAGATATGTTTGCAAAAATATATAAAAATATTTTCAGAAGTTGCTGACATAGATTTATAAATATTTGTTCGAATTTCTCTTATTTTATGTTAGATCTGCTATATCGAGATTTATTTGCTTACCTCAAAATGTGCAAGAAATATCTGATTCAGCAATGTAGACACAGCATTTAACACGCCAATATTCAAACCATAGGAATTACAGAGTATAATGTAGTTTCTGTTTCTGCAGAGCCTTTTAATCGGCTCCACGAATTCTTCTTTCTTCTCCGTCCGATTTATTTTTTGCAGTGCCCGCGTCTCACTCGGTGGTAGTTCAGGTTCGTTCTGAAATACTACGAAATAATACGAAAGCATATTGAAACGATTAAATTATGATAATCTTTCCTGGGGTGTGAGTTATCCTTAATTAACGATTTATTCTTCTTCCTCTACTCTTTTCCTTGTGTGTGGATACCTCAGATAAATATAAATAAAAACCAAGATAAAGGGTCTGAGATTAAAGTAGATTATCGACTGTACTGGAATATTGGTCTATGTTTAAAATTTGATAGATGTATTGAAGGATAGCTTTTAATTGATATTTATAAGGGAATACTTCGAGTTAACTGCTACTGATTATGAATGATTGTCTAAAAGACCTGTTCAAACTTTATTTACAAAAAGTGAACACATTACGTACACAAAAATGTAAATTTTATATTAATATACGTAATTCATAAATATAATTTTGATTCTTTATTATTTTATTAACTAAAATTAAAGAATGGTTATCTATTTGTGGGAAAGTATAAAGAAATTACAAAAATATTTTTTATATCAGTTTAGATTTTCCATTTTAGAGAAGAATTAATCACTAGCAAACTATTTGTTTTATTAGTAGAGGAAAGTTGCCGATAACTGATATAGATCTCTTAAAGTAACATCTCCTTATTTCTCAGAAATTAATTATTGCATATTTCATTAATACTAATAAAATCGTGATCTGTTTAGATAATTAAAGAAATATAAACTCACAAGTCATGCATTTGTGACTTGTTTTTATACCAAATAAGCTAAAAACGATTTCTATAAATGCGAAAATAAAATTCTTTTGCAAATTGCGTAGTTTAAATAATAGTAACTATATTATTGATAATATTACATCATTTTAAATGCTTGTAATTTCCTAAATTAGTTTTATTTATATTATTTTTTTTTAGTTTTTTCATAATAAGATTTTAAAATTAAAATTGTGGTGCAGCGTAAACCGCCACATCTATCTGTAACAGATTATGAGCTAACTTAACCTTTATAATGTTGCTTTATAGCTCTATCAAATAGCTCTATTAGAGCTGAAAACAATTGTGCATATATGGAAAAATTCTTGAAAAACTATTGCGTTACATATTTCTTGCAAAACAACATAAAGTAAATATGCATAATTTCATATGTATAATTCAATAAAAATGTTTTATAACGAAGAATGAAAAGATTCTGGAATATCTTATATATATTCACTTGTTGGTAATTTATACAAATAATTCCCGTAAAAGAAAAAGAATAGGACTAATAGCATTACTGTGTCAGTTTTTAAACCCATTTTGTCAAACGCTCATTTTTGCTTATCTTACGAAAAAATTAATTATTGCAAAATTGTAAACAGTATTAAAAAAACTGCTTAAACTATCTCATAGAAGACACTTTTTAGTTTGTACTTACGTTTTTATTTTTATCTTTTATTTAAAAAATATTGTCTAAAAACAAAATGGTAGATGTTAAACGTACATGTAAGCACAAGAGCGAATACAATTGTGCCGATGATTGCGACTATCCAGCATAAACGTGACAAATCTTTGCCGATGTCATCCAGATTGTTGTGATTTTTTACTATTACAGGCCCTAAAAGAAAACCCAACGCTATTCCCACTTGATTGCCAAAAATTCCCAAAGACGTGGCGGTTGAGAGTTGAGTTGAAGGAAACCATTGCGCGGCCAAGCGTCCAGGTAATGGCAGTACCAAAGTCTAATATATAAAATGAACTAATTACTATTTTCTAAATAAATATGACAAACAATATAGAGTAATAACGTAATCATAAGAAGGAGGTAAAGAAAAAGTTGTAATAATAACAAAATCAAGATTTTAAGAGATTAATCAAGTAATTTAAGAGATGTTACCTGCGCAAGTGCGACTATCGAATGACCAATGAAAACAACGTAGAATCTATCGGGTTGAACGGACAATATTTTTATCCAGGAACCAAGACAGTTAAGACCGGCGCCTA